AGAACCTGGCCACACTCCTGGAGGCAGGTGGCTTCCGTGCCTGGGCTTGGCCTCAGGTGACACGCACCCTGATTTTGACACTATGAGACACACACCCCAAGAAATGCCTCAGTCCTGGACAACCCAGGGCAGTGCGGGTCGCCTACTTCGGGGCTCCCCCAACAAACAGCAGCGCACCCCAGGGAGGGGCCTTCTCCCTCCAACCTGGGTGGGACCTAGGTGCCGCTCCCTCCCCCATAGGGAGACAAGCTGACACCGAGACTCGATCAGCTCACCAAAGCCACCGGGCTGTGTGGCCCCGGCAGGCCCCTGCTCCCTCTCGCCTGCGTGCCCCTCCAGTCCGGAACCAGTCTGCACCCCTGGCGCCTCCTGCCTGCTTCCGAGACTCAGGGTTGAAAGCTGGTGAGATGGTTCCTGTCTCCCAGAGGGGTAACCTGAGGCACACCCATTCTGCACAGACAGTGACAGGGGCTCAGGCAGGAGGAAGCGCGGTCTGGACAGAGGCCCGAGCCTGTCCACGTGAGATGGGGCTCTGCCCCAGAGCTCGGCCTGGTGGAGGAGATACAGAGAAACCAAACACTAGGCAGAGATCTGCCCTCAGAGTGAGGGATTCATTCAGACAAAGCAAGGAAGGCTGCACGGAGGAGGTGGCATGGAAGCGTGGTCTCAAAGTGTGGTCCAAGATTTCAAGACTGAGGTACAAGGTTTGAGGTGGAAAAGACACTGAGGGAGAGTGAGCCACTCAGGCAAGGCTGGCGGTCAGGGCATGGGGACGTGAAGAAGGAAGTAGGGGCTGGCTCAGAAATAGCACCATGGCCAGGTGTGGCGGCTAAGAACCCAGGGTGCAGTGAGACGTGACGATTCTCGAGGTCACAGGGAAGAGAGCCCGGGACACAGGCGGGGAGGCCAGGCCGCAGAAACAGCCCGGGGAGCAGCAGGCCCCGGCGCAGAGACGGACGGAGACCCAGCACGCTGGCCAGGGCGTCTGGGGTTTCCGGGGTTCTGCCTCCTGGGATGGCAGGGCTCCTCCCCGGGCGAGTGGCCCGCTGGCAGCACCCAGGCCCCAGGCACTGCTCTGCACCCTGCCCTGGCCCTGCCACAGCAGCGTGGAATGCCAGCGCCTCCCCCTGCACTCAGCAGGGGGTCCATCAGAGCCCCCAAATGGCAGGCAGCCCCAGAGGCACCCACTCACCCGCCCAGCCTCAGACAGGGGGGCCGAGGCCCGGGGAGGGGCAGGCAGTTAGCCTGTTTGTGCCTCCAATTTCGCATCTATAAAATGGAGATCTTTCCCACTGGTCCAACCTGCGCCTTACCCCACACCCCCTGCCCCAGCGGCCCCCAGCCCCAGCCCCGCCCCCTCACACAGCACCGGCTTTACAGAGTGAACGTCTGCAGTGGGCAGGCCTGCTCTGCAGGCCTAGCACACTGTCACACGCAGGGTGGGCCCAGTCACTGGGCGCCCAGGGGACCGGCCAGCACGCTCCCCCCTTTCAAACCTTCCAAGCTCCAGCTACCAGGGGCACAGGCTGGGGGCGACAGACACTGAGAGGGACCTCACAGGGAAGCCAGCAGCTGCGGGCACCCCAGGGAGGGGCCAGGGCCGGGCCTGGTGCCTGCACTGCCCTACAATGGGCTCCTGTGGCACGCTGAACAACGGCCCCCACAGACGTCCGCATTCAAGACCCCACAAGCTGCCAATGTCACCCTACACGACAGCCTGGAGGCTGGCGAGGAGCCCCAGTTGTCTGACGGGCCCTCAAGGCAATAGCAGGAGTCCTTGTAAAAGGGAGGCGGGGGTGGGGGCTTCAGAGGAGGGAAGGGGTGACGCAGCCACAGGAGCTGGAGGAGACAAGGCTCTGATTGTGCCTGGCAGCCTGTGGAAGGGTGCAGCCCCCCAGACTCACGCTGCCCCCCGCCCCCGACCTCCAGCAGCGCGAGGGGAGGAGCCAGACCGCTCAGTGTGTGGCGATTCGCTTCCGAGGCGACAGGAAGCGACTACTGCCCTTGAAGCCGAGTGGACGGCGGAAGGTGGGTGACGAGGCCCACCCCTCTCGTGCTCAGGGAAGCCATGAACTGCTCCGCTGTGCGACAGTCACCCCACACCTCAGCGTTGCAGTCGCTGTCATTAGGAACGGCGGCCGGGTGCAGAGCACGCAGATCCGGCCAGTGGGCTTCCGGCCTTCTGTCCACCATCCCTGGCTGGGCAGCAGGGGCTGCCCTGACCACAGGCCCCAGGGTGGCAGCAAACCCAAGCCACACAGGCCCGCTGAGCCGCAGCCCGGGGAGTGCTGGCTGGGCACGGAGCCGCGCCGGCCATTACAGGCGAGCAGAGGTGGCTTCCGCGTCTGAGCCCGAGGGCTGCCCCGTAAGACAGCCAGGAGCAGAAGCCCAAAGGGACCTGGCCCACTTTGCTTTTAGTAAGCGGCGAAAGGCAAGGCCTAAGGCCAAAGGGAAGTCAGCCGCCCAGCCTGCGCGGCAGGGAGGCAACCCCTGGGCGGCACCAGCGGCCCAGAGAAGAGGCTGTGGTGCTGGGAGCCTCGAAGGCCAAGCTCAGAGGCCCCACGGGCCAAGCAGCGTTCTGAGCGAGGAGGCCGAAGAGGCCTCTGGGAAGTCAGGGACAGCTAGGAGAGGCTGCAGAGGGGCTCACACACTTGGGCAGCTGGGGAAGGAGACAGCACAGGGGCGAGGGAAATGCCAGGGCGCGGGGTGGGTTCAGCACGAGGACAGGGTACAGACCTTGCCCTCGGCGGCTGTGGGAGCACAGGGCCTGCTGCTGAGCCTCAGAAAGACCTGCGCTGAGGTGCTCCGGGCCGCCTAGGCCCTGCCTCTGCCCGAGGGACAGGAGCCCTTGGGGAAGCCAGGCAGACTGGAGGACCCCTGTGCCAGGGTACTGCAGGGGTCAGCGGTTCCCTTGCTCACCAAAGCCAACAGGGGCTTCCGTGTCAACAGGAGAGAGCCCCCCTTCCATTCGCCCTTTCCCCTAAGTGAGCCCCTCCTGCCTTGGCGAGTGATGCCCAAGGCTCATCACTACTGCTAATAATAATTACTGCTAATGACGGCGGCCACCAAGCACCGTGTACTTGCAGGAACACTTCTACTGACAAGACCTAAACTCGGTCATCAGACCTAACCTAATCACACTAGCCCCCAAATCCCAGAGATTCAGCCCCATCCCACACAGCAGGAAACAGACAACACAGAAGTTCACTGCCTCAGGGTCACAGGCATATGGGGAGGGATTGAGCCAGTCTTAAGGAAAAAGAGATCCCACAGATAGGAGGGGTGCTGGAGAGAGGTCGCTCTGAGTCCCAGGGTTCCTGGAAGCCTCAGGGCTGTCTTGACAGCCTACAGGGCAAGTAGGGGCAGAGGAAGTCAGAGACAGCCCCGCTCAGAGCAGGGTTCCAGATGCCCTCCACCCAAAGCCCGCAGGCCTCTCACAACGGTGCCCATCCTCACCTTCCAGCTTCCCCAAGACCTGCTCCATCCCCAGCTGCACCCCCATCTACCCTCCCCAGCACTGGGGCTCTGCACAGTCCCCGGCACCTGCCACCCATCCCACCCTTGCTGCGAGCACTCCCATCAGTCCCCACCTCCCCTGCTAAGCCCTAGCCTTGGCCAGGGTTCTGGGGAGGGGAGGAGAGGCCAAGGGGCGCCTCTCCCTAGCAGAACCTTCTCCTCAATGGCCTGGACGGCAACTCCCCATTTACAGCAGCCAACGCGCTCCTCCTCGGAGCCGCAGCTGGTCTATGCAACCCCCAGGCACTGGACCAGCATTCAAGTTCACAGCTCCAAGCCTCCGCCCCAGCTGTTTCCTGGCTTCCAGTGGCCAGCCCTTGCTCTTCTGCTTGGTGAACTTCTCCCAGATCCTGCTCTGATGAGGCGGCGAGTGACCCAGTGCCCCCAGCCCCCAGGGGCTTATCTGTTCATACACCTGCCTAAGTGGTGAGAAGTGGCGCTCACTCCTCAGGCAACAGACCCTGCCTGAGTGGCCCTTGGTGCGGGGCACTCAGTCCTCGCCTGGCACGCAGTTGAGCCCACCCCGCTCCACCCAGCACTGAGTAGCCAGGCACTCAAACTGCACCCCAGGACTCACCCGGGCATATCAGCCCTTGCAGAGCACAGGGGGCCTCCGCCCCATCCCAGGCCCCACACGTCTCTGAGCACCGAGCGGCCCCGGGCAGGGCTCCTCCAGCAGTCTGTGCACAAAGGACATTCTGGCTTGAGCCAGGTGGACGTGAATGCAAATTCTACCTCCCTAGTCCAGAGAGGGCAGCCGCTCCACTCCTCGGAGCCCCTCCCCTGGCTGCCAGGGCTCTGCCCCGGAATCCCACCGCAAGGGGCGAAGCCAAGAGAGAATCTGGCACCTGTTAATGATCGTCGCCCCTAGACGGGTGCCCTCAGCACCCCCTCCCCCGACCCTGGGGCGTGGAGAAGGACCAAGGATGGGAACAGCGGGGATCCATCCTCTCCCCCTCGCGGCCACACACCCGGGCGCGCACCCGGCAGGCAGGAGGAAAGGCCCCCAGGCAACCCGTGGAGAATGGCAGCCAGGGAAAGCCGCTCGGACAGCAAGGGCCTCGGCCGCCCCCTCCCGAAGCCCGGGGCGCCGGGAGGACCACCAGACGGGACTGGGGAATTGAACGGGTGCTGGGAGTCAGAGGGGGAAACTGGAAGGGGGACTTGCAGGGAGGAGGGGAGAAGCAGGCGAGCCCCAGGTGTCCAGCACGCCCAGGCGTCTACACTCGGAAAACGACTCCGGAACCCCCAGGAGGACTTAGGGAAAGGACCCTCGCCTCTGGGGCGGGGTGAGGACTAGAGGACCCCGCCCCCACCTCACCCCCGGGCCCCAGGCCGGCGCTCACCTCCCTGGCCCCGGACCCGCGGGGCGTGCAGCCCCCTCCCGGCTCCGCGCTCCGCGTGGCCGCGCGTCCGGCACACACCCCTGAAACGCGCACAGCACGCGCGCCCGCACACGCCTTCCTCCGCGCCGCGCCTCCTACCTGCCGCGCCGCGGCGGGCGAGCTGGACCCGGGGTGCCGTGCAAGGCGCGCGCTGGCGCGGAGGCTGCACCGGCCCGAGATGCAGCCGGGGCCGGCCTGGGGCGGCGGCTCGAGCTCAGACTCCCGGGGTTCCGCCGCCTGGACCCCGCCCCCTCCGCGGCCTCCGCCCCTTTGGGGCCAGGGGCGTGGCCTCGGTGGAGCGGACGGGCCGGGCGGTGCGCATGCGGGCTGGCGCAGCACGGGAGACCGGGCAAGGCACCCGGCGGCGGCGGGGGGGCCGGGTGCGAGCAGCGAGGGCTTCCCCAGAACGCTCGCGGCGACGGGGGCCGCCCTCCCGCCAGCCTGCGCGTCCATCCCCGGGGTGCTGGGTGCAGGAGGGGAGCCTAGGCCCCGTGAGACGCAGAGGGCCCCTGTCAGCTGGGGAAGGCTGGCTCGGTGCCCGAACAGCACGCAGCACTCACCCCGGGTGACCCTGGGCTGTGACGGCCTGCATCCGGGGCTCCTGATCGGCTGTGGACTGACTCCCGGAACGTCCTGCAAAGGCCCTGAGCCTCGCTGCTCAGTCCGTGCAGTGAGGGGCTGTCCTCCCCACCCACAGTTCGGAGCTCCAGGGATGCCCCAGCCTGGCGCACAGTAGGGCCTCAGGCATCAGGCAGCCGGGCAGACGCCCCCTCGGTCATCCAGGGATCCGGTCAGCCCACTCTGCACATGGAGAAACTGCGGCCCACTCCTGCGCTTCCCGGCTCTCAGTCTCGGTTCGTGATCTCACCTCTCACCGACCTCTCAGTCACCCAGACCTCTGCCTCTCCACGAGGCCTCCTAAGCGTCCACCAAGTGTAGCTGCAGTGGCTCCACCCCCTGAGCAGCACTGCAGTCTGCACCCCAGGGCCGCTACCCCAGCCACTGCCCACTGCCCGGCAGCTGCTCCACGCTCAGTTTAGGAGCTGCACCGCCAGCCCCCACCCAGGGTCCTGCTGATCTGCAGCTGTCTGGAAGGCTCTTCCATCCCTCTGGCTTGCCGTAGTGCTGAGAAGGGCACCTGCCCCCAGAACAGAACCAGGCAGGCCTCCTAGAACGCTGGGAATGGGAGGGCCTGTCTGTGGCAGTTCCGCTTCTTCCATGCAGGAGGCCTGGAGGGACAGGGACATGTCTGGAGCACCCAGCCTAGCGGGGGAGGGGAGGAGGGGCTCAGACAGCCAAGAAGGGCCGGTCCTGCCCAACAGGTTTGCCCAACAGGTGGACCTTACTGCCTGGTTTTCATAAGCTGAGTCATCTAATGGAGCCAGGATGGGGCTGGCAGTGGAGCTGCCTGGTGGTAACCCCATTTCACAGATGACAGCACTGAGCCTTGGGCGCTTGCCCCGGGCCACACAATTCATGGAGGGCAGGACTGGGATCCAAGCTGACTGTATTTTCTGTGCTCCCACAGGGGTCGGGAGGGATGCCCAGCCTTGGCTCGGCTCCCCCAGAACTGAACTGGATGCCCTTCCTGTACTTGGGAAAGCCTTGTCTCCCACCGCTGCCCCACCCCTCTTCCTCCTCCTCCCAGAGCCCGGAGGCAAAATCCCTGCTCCCAGCCAGAAAACCCCCATTGGCCCCTGCTCCTGGGGCCAACAGGATTTCCCAGGTGAAACTCACAATAATCCTATCTGTTGGAAGATCCCAGCAGAGCTAACTGGCAAGCTATTGTTTGAGAACCTTCCAGAAAGCTGCTCCTTGGCTCGGGGAGTGACCCCTCTTGGTGGCTCCCAGGCCTAGGTCTGGAGGCCCAGCAACTGTGCCCACCAGGTCCTACCGCACCCCCTCTCTGCAGGGAATGGTTGCTGAGAGAGCCACCCCAGTGGTTGGGCAATAGGAATGTCCCGCTGTACACCAGGCAGGTGCCATGGAAACAAAATGACCTTGGAGTTGCTCTCAGTCCCATCCTCCTCTGCAAACACTGCTTGTATTTGTTATTATCCTGCATGCTACTGACAACCAGCAAGAACTGGTGGGGTTTCTCCCAGGAGTGCAAGCTTGGTGTACTAGCAGGAAACCCAGTAGAATTTTTTTTTTTTTTTTTTTTTTGACAGGCAGAGTAGACAGTGAGAGAGAGAGACAGAGAGAAAGGTCTTCCTTTGCCATTGGTTCACCCTCCAATGCCCGCCGCGGCCGGCGCGCTGTGGCTGGCGCACCGCGCTGATCCGAAGGCAAGAGCCAGGTGCTTATGCTGGCCTCCCATGGGGTGCAGGGCCCAAGCTCTTGGGCCATCCTCCACTGCACTCCCTGGCCACAGCAGAGAGCTGGACTGGAAGAGGGGCAACCGGGACAGAATCCGGCGCCCCGACCGGGACTAGAACTCGGTGTGCCGGCGCCGCTAGGCGGAGGATTAGCCTAGTGAGCCGCGGCGCCAGCCAGTAATAGAATATTAATACCAGTTCCCACGCTGCCATAACAAAGGCCCACAGACAGAGACTTCCTGTCTCACAGGTATCAGCAGGACTGGTCCCTTGTGAAGACAGTGACCGAGAATCCATTCCGTGCTCGCTTCCGAGCTTGGGGTGGCCGCTGGTTCTTTGCCACCCGCTGGGTGGCAGAGGTGTCACCCAGTCTCCGCCTTTGACTTCACGGGGCACTCTCCTGGCGTCTCTGCTCTGAGTTCCCCCACACTGATGACCGCTTCTGCATTTAGTTCCCTCTGTAATGACCCTGTCTTCACAGGCAGTTACAACCTGAAGTACTGGGGAGACACGACGACGCAATTCCACCCCTAATCCGCTTATTCCAAGTTAACGAACCTAAGGGAGGAACGGCCCGATGTTCTCTATAAACGCTGAGAAAGCTGTAACAAGCCTTATTAGACAACATTTTGTTCCCTTAACTAAAACACCCAGGGCAGGGGGTGCACCTGGGAAGAAAGTTTGTTTCAGCTTGTAGTTTGGAGGTTCATACCCCAAGACCCCGAGTTCAGGCAGCCAGCGAGGGCAGAGCGCCGCGAGACCGGAAGCTGAGACAGGAAGTGCTCTCTGCCTAGGTTAGCCAGGTCTACCCAGAGCCCGCCCGCCAGGCTTCCGTCTCAGCTCCGTAATCAGATGGAGACTCACCTTTACCCCGTTCACCTGTTAACCATTAAGTTACGACCTGGAGTTGTAGACGCCTGGGGAGCCAAATCCAGTTCAAACCATGTGAATACTTATGATCAGAGCACTCAGCGAGAAAGGACCGGAGGGAAACTCTCGAGGGGATAAAGCGCCGCCCTACAGCCCGTCTTGTTTAATCAAGCAGCACCAGGGTGTTTCCACGAAGGTTGAGAACAAGGCAGCTCGCCACCGCCACCTCCCACTGCTGTTCCCGTTGTTCCACGTTCTACCAGAGGCCTTAGCCAGTGCCATCACACAAGAGAATTCAATCGGAGGCCCAAGAGGCGGCAGTCAGATGCTGCCTGGGGTGCCCATATCCTATATCAGAGTGCCTGGGATTGAGCCCTGGCTCTGCTTCCACTTCAGCTTCCTGCTAATGTGCCCCCTAGGCTAGACAACAGGTGATGGCTCAAGTACTGGGGTTCCTACTACCCACGAGGGAGGCCCAGATGGAGTCCTAGCTCAGCCTGGCCAGGTCCTGGCAATTAGAACAGGCATTTAGGGAGTGGACCAGTGGATAGATCTCTCTCTTTCTTTCGAATAATAAACCTTAAAAGAATGGGTACAGAAGATATAAAACTGTCTCTGTTTTCAGATGATATAATATTATAGTTGAAAAACCCCAGAACTAATTCAAATAGTAAAAGAGTTCAACGACATAGCAGGATAAAATTCAGTAGGTTTTATTTATAAGCCTGCAGGTCATAATGGAAGAGAATATCCCATTTACAGTAAGAACAAAAAAGATTAAATAGGAAGGAAGTGAGAAATAGGTAAAACCTATCCGAGGCAATTTAAAAAACACTCTTGAAAGACACTAGAGAAAAACAAACGGGAAGCAGTCCCCGCGTCCAGGAAGGATGAGTTGGCGCTATGTATGTGTCCGTTCTCGATGTTACCCTTTACATTCTAGGCAGTCCCAATAAAAATACCAGCAAGCTGTTTTACAAAGATATCTAAGCTGTTGGTAGAGTTCACATGGAAAAATAACTAGGCAAGAAAACACTGGAAAAGAAAAATCGCGAGAGCGAGCTGTTTTATCATTCAAAAAATACAAGATGTGATTCAAAATGGGGAGGTTCTGGCGCATGAAGAGACTAACTGAACAGACTAGAAGATTCTGAAACCGGCTCAAGTGCATTCCTACCCCAGAGAATTGGGACGCCGCCTTTGTTACCCACTGAAGAAGGACTTTGTAATAAATGGTGCTGGAACAACTGGGTAGCCATGTGGGAAAAGATAAAATTGGACCCACATGTTGCAGCCCAAAGAACAAACTCTGTATGGATTAGAGATCCAAGTATAAAACACAAAGGCACGAATCTTAGCTCCGGCTACCAGAACACGAAGCCAGGAGTGGGATGCCTTATGAACAACCTTCACTACTTCCCCCAGTTCTGGCAGCCAGGAGTCCCAGGTCAGGCGTGGGTTCTGGTGAGGGCTCCCTTCCAGGCTGCAGAGGCCGACTTCTCACCCATCCTCACACAGGACAGAGCCAGGGATCGCTCTAGCCTTCTCTTGGGAGAGCTTGGACTCCACTCACAAGGCCCCGCCTCCAAATCCCAGCACAGTGGGATTAATTTCAAAGCAGGAAGTTGGGGGCCAGGACACATCCAGCCCTACACACCCTACAAGGAGCAGAAGAAAACATGAATGGGTTCTTCACCTTGGATGTTGAGAAAGATTTCATTTTTACGAAGATCTGTTTATTTGAAAGGTAGAGTTACAAGATCTCCCATCTGCGGGTTCACTCCCCAAATGTCTGTGCCAAAACCAGGCACTCCATCCGGGTTTCCCATGCAGTGGCAGGGGCCCAAGCCCTCGGGCATCAGTGTTGCAGGAGTGGTGGAGGAGGAGTCCGCGATGCCAGGCCTCGGCTCAGCGACCCAGAGCTGCGGCAGGCTCCTCTTTCCGGGACAGCGGCTCCCGTGCTGCGGTGCTGTGTTGCGGCTGGGTCACGGCTCCCGGTGTGCAGTCTTCCAGGTTGCTGCTGCTTTTCTCTGTCGGCTTCTCTGTCTTGTGACCGTGGAGAAGGAGACACAGAGGACGGGAGGAGGAAGCAAAGCGAAGGACGTTTGTTGAAGGAAGCAGAGAAGGTTCTGCGGCAGCCAGGAGGGCCTGCCCAGCCCAGGCTGCCTGCTCCAGGGCGCTGCTTACTCCAGATTGCCTCTCAAGCCTGCTGCCTTGGTCTTTTCTGGGCTTCTAAAGCGGCAAGTACTCTCTGATCCACGGAGGTGCATGCTAATGAGGATTCTACCTGAGCCAATCAGGGAACAGACGTGTAATTTGCACAGAAGTTCACAGGTCCTTGCTGCACAAGCGACAACACCTGAAAATGCCACTATAGGCGTTTCTCCCTTCTCCCTCACCCCAGGGCTCCTGGAGAGTCTGTCACGTTTTGCTTCCTTTCCAGGGCTCCCTGGCGTCCCTGACATTAGCAGGGAGCTGAATCAAAAGTGGAGTAGCCAGAACTCCTGTTGGCACTCTTATGGGATGCCGGTGCCACAGTCGCAGCTTAACCCTCTGTCCCACAACGCCAGCCCCAGGAAAGATTTTGAAGCTGTGGTTCAAACTAGAGAAGCAGTAAAAGAAAAGAATGAGAAATTTGATGACATAAAAAAATCACTCACCATGGTAAACAAATCAACGAGTAACTGAAAAAGCGGAAAAAATACTCCCCATGCATCCCACAAAAGGTGGGTATTCCCGATCTATAAGCAACTCCTACAGACAGAGGAGGAAGCCCCAAAATCAAGTAAGAAGATGAGGTCAGATTCAGAACAGACGATTCACCAAATGTGTGGGGGAAAAGGCCCAAGAAATCTGCGCGCAGCGAAGTACAACCCCAGTGGGTGCCATTTCTCACCTAGCAGGCTGGCAGAAAAGGAGGCGCGTCCTAGCACAGTCTGTAGGCAGCACTGGGGCCGAATGGCTCTCCCGGGCACGGCCGTGGGAGGCACATGGACGCCATCCTGGCCGCAGAACCTAACACAGCCGCATGGACATCAGCCCCTCCCTGCCAGTCCACATCCAGGAATCCCCCACCAGGCGCTTCGCTTCCAGCAGTGTGAAAACACATATGCAAGAGGTCTTTTTAAATTGAAATGTTAAGGAAAAATCTTTCTCTATTTGAGAGAGAGAGAGAGAGAGAGAGAGAGAGAGAGAGAGAGAAAGATCCTATTTTTTTGCCTGAGGTCTGAAGCCAGGTCTCCCATGTCGGGGGCCGACAGCCAACTGCCCGAGCCATCACCTGCGGCCTCCCAGGGTCTGCATCAATAGGAAGCCGAAATCAGGAAGCAGTGCCCGAAACACCTGGGCATCTGATACAGGCTGCAGGCTCCCCAGTGGGGCCCTAACCATAGGCTGCAAAAGATCAGGAGCAATCGAAACACCTGTTTGTGGAGGAGCAGTTGAGGGAACTATAGTAGGCAGGGCAGTACTATGCCAACTGAGAAGAAAGGCCTCAGAATGTATCCTGTACGAATCCCAGCCGCACCCCCACCCCGCCTTCAGGACTGGGTCCTGCAGCACCACCCACTCTCCCCGCCCACTCCCCCATCTGGCCGCCCACACAGCACCTAGCCCTGCCCACCCAGCGCTGGTCACCTCTTCACTTCTCCACCTCCCTGTCCCCTCCACTCCTTTCTCTGCCAGGCTGGGCTCCCCCGTGCCCACCTGCCCCTGAGACAGGCGGCCAGTCCCTGGCTCTGCTGCTGGGCCCTGGAGGCAGGAGTAGCAGTCCAGGACTACAGTGGCGAGCTGACGTCACCTCGGTCCCCCAGGGCATCAGAATCAATCTTGGGGAAAGGCTGCCATCCGCAGGGAAAGCTACACTGCCGGAGCTGTTTGTCTTTCCAAGGCCGGCTGGGCTGGGCTGGGCCGGGCCAGGGCGGAGCGGGGCGGGGCGGAAGAGGCCTGCACCCAGATGGTGAACAAGCTTCCCCGGAGCACAGGGCTCCACCGAGGTGGCTTCCCCTGCAGCTGCCTGCTGCTGGCCCAATGGGCTCATGAGGCTTCGGCAGCTCACAGCCAGGCCTGCACAGGGCACACCTACTGTACGACAACACTGGGCCCCGAAGGCCGCCTTTTAAAAATGACATCTCAGGGTGCACTGGGTTAAGCCGCTGCTTGCCTAGCTGGCATCCCATATTGGATTTTAGTCCTGGCTGCTCCACTTCTGATCCAGCTCCCTGCGAATGCACCTGGGAAAGTGGCAAATGATGGTCCAAGTACTTGGGCCCCTGCCACTCTCTCTCTCTCTCTCTCTCTCTCTCTCTCTCTCCCCCCTCTCCCTCTCCCTCTCCCTCTCCCTCTCCCTATCTACCCTCCTCCCCTCTCACTCTCTCTGTGGCTCTACCTTTCAAATAAATAAAATAGAGCTGTATAAAGTGACATTCTGAGCTGTTGTGCCCGGCGTGAAGAAACGCTGTTGGTCTTTCCTGAGGGTCTTGAATCTGCAGCCTTGCCCTGAGGGCTTTGTAGCTGCCGCTGCTGAACCACAGCCACAGTCAGATCTCCCACGGGAGCCGCTGCCTGAGCCGGAGCCGCTGCCTTCTGTGGTCTTTATTAGCAGGAAACTGGAGTGAAGCTGGAAGTCAAACCCTGGCACCCTGATGTAGGGTATGGGTGCCTTTACTCACCCATTCTATTTATATCTTTTTGGGGATTTTTTTTTAAGATTTAATTTATTTACTTGAAAGAAAGAGCCACAGAGAGAAAGGGAGACAGAGACAGAGAGGGAAAAAGGGAGAAAGAGAGGTCTTCTATCCACTGGTTCACACTCATCAAATGGCCACGATGGCCAGGGCTGGGCCAGGCTGAAGCCAGGAGCTTCTTCTGGGTCTGCCAGATGGGTGCAGGGACCATCTTCTACTGCTTTCCCAGGCCAAGCAGAGAGCTGGGTTGGAAGTGGAGCAGCTGGGACTTGAACTGATGCCCATATGGGATGTTGGCACTGCAGGCAGGAGCTTTACCCGCTACGCCACAGCACTGGTCCCTGACTTTTTCTTGGATTTCAGATTCTGAGTTTACTGCATGACCCATTCATGGATCTCACGTCACAGTTTGGAAACTGCTACTCAAGTCTGGGCCTGCTGGTCCCCGACATGTGCCCTGATGGCACCTTGCACAGCCCGGGCAGGCTGAGGGTGTGAGAGGGGCCTAAGGAGAACAAAGCACCCCCACCCAGGAAAGAACTGCAGCAGCCCCTAGCAGCCTTGGAAGCAGCCCACTATTTTTTTTTTTTTTGAGATTTTATTTATTTATTTGAGAGTCAGAGTTACAGAGAGAGGGAGAGATAGAGAGAAAGATTTTTCATTCCCTGGTTCACTCCCTAAATAGCTGCAAAGGCCAGAGCAGGGCTGGTCCGAAGCCAGTAGCTTCCTCTGAGAGTCCATTCTGCCAGATGCCCTAGCCCACGAAACATTGCTACCTCACCTCCCACTGCGGTCTCCCTCTGCATTCTTCCTCATTTGAGGACGAGAACCTCTGTCCCAGTGACCTCTGCGAACACAAGCACACTCAAGTGTGACTCAGGGTCCCACAGGCCACCCCACCCCAGGGCGGTCGCTGGGCTCCCAGCTTGGCCTTGGGCCTGCTTTGTGATGCTGGACTGGCCTCTGCCCCTCTCTGGGCCCTTTTGCTCCTTGCAGGGAGCCAGGATGAACAGCACTGAGGGCCCTGCAGGGCCTTGGACTTCCTTTCTCTCCATGCCATCGTTTGATATTTCTCCAGGGCTTGGGGCAGGGGGTGGGTGTGGCCCAGGGCTGGGGGAAACTGAGGCAGGACTTCACCTTTGAGATCCCCCCCCACTCTGCCTGGCCCGTCCCACCTCTCTGTGTGGCTGAGATGGGTGGGGGCAGGGAGACCAGAGCAGAGATGTGACTGGTTTATCCCTGGGTGTGCCTTCTATTTTTAGTATGTTTTTATTGAAATTTGCACGCTGGGAACACCCATGAGTGCCCCAGTGATGTCACAGCCACGCAGCGCCCTGCAGCCTGGTGTCACGGCCTGAGGCGGTGGCCTTTGCACTGGGGAGGTGGCCGGGGAAGCTGTCATCGCCCAGGGCTGGTGGGTGGGGGGCCTGGGCCCTCATTCCTCGATGCCCAGGAGACTGTGACTGTGGGCGGGCCACTCCCTCTGCGGCTCTCAGTCTCCTCATCTGTCAGAAGGGTGGCGGCGCCTGTTTTCTGGTCGTGGTGAGGATCCAAGGAAGTCGGGGCTCAGGAGTCCTTTCTAACACCTATCTCGCCACATTATTTTGCATATTTTAAAATCTATTCCATTTTTTTAATTCTTAAAGATTTATTCATTTGGAAGGCAAAATTACACACACACACACACACACACACACACACAGATCTTCTGTCTGTTGGTTCACTCCTAAAGTGGCCCCAACAGCCAGGGCTGGGCCAGGCCAAAGCCAGGAGCCAGGAGCTTCATCTGGGTCTCCCACGTGACTGTGGGGGCCCAAGCACTTGGGCCATCTTCTGCTGCTTTCCCAGGCACGTCAGCAGGGAGCTGGGTCAGAAGTGGAGCAGCTGGGACTTGAAGCAGCGCTCGTATGGGATGGCACTGTTGCAGGTGGTGGCTTAACCTGCTACACCCCTCTGGCCCCAAAATATGTTTGAAATTTTAAAATTACTCTGTATCATGTTCTAGATTCGGTAGACTAAGTACCTTTTGTGCTTCTACCATAAGTTGTGCTTTTCAAATGGACTTTCCCCAGCTGCTTGTATAGGAATTAAATGGGGTTTGTGTTTGGGGCAGCAGTTAAGATGGTGCTCTGGACACCCCCCCCACCCCCGTCATGAGCTGGCGGGCCTGGGTTTGAGTTCCCCTTGGGAAGCAGTGGTGATGGCTTAAGTACTCGGGTTCCTGCCACCCACGTGGGAGCTCCCGGCTCCTAGCCCAGCTCTGGGTGTTGCAGGCATTTGGGGAGTTAATCAGCAGACGGGAGATATCTTTTCCTATCTCCCTCTTTCTGACTTTCAAACAAAAATAAATACAAATTTAAAAAGAAACTACACCGATTTTTGCGCATTGGTTATGTCTCTGGATAAGTTGGTACATTTTCTTGTTAATTTAACCGCTTATCTGCAGGTTCAGTTCTCGAAGAGGAGGACTGCCCCCTAGCGGGAAATCTGGGGACTTTTTGTTCCGTCCAATAATTTGCACATCAAAATACTTGGGTTGTTCTTGGGTGTAACAGCCAGATCTCCTCTTGTCGTTACCTTTTATGATACAATTAAGGCGTTACATTGACTTCGGAAAAGATGCGTGTGGGCTGACTACGTAATCTAGGAATTCCACTTCCGGATGGGGAGGGAGGCCCCGACGCGCTGGCAGCGGCCGTGAGCTCTTCCCCCTAGGTACCCTGTGTCTTGTCCGCTGAGCTCGCCAGCCCGGACTACGGGGAAGCCAGCGGTGGTGACCCGAGGGACCCGCCTATGAAGCCTCCCGGCTTTGTGGGCATCACGCGTGCTCTCCCGTACCCGAGACGCTCACACCTGGGTCGGACGCCGCGCCCCGCACCTGCGGCTCTGCACAGCGCACGAACGCACGACGGTGGACCGCCCCCGCGTTCCGCGCGTCAGACCTCGCGGGCCCAAACCCCGGGTGCCGGGCCTTCCCTCTTCTTCCTCTGGCCACGCTGGCCTGCGGGTGTTTTTGTGTTCGGCTTCTGCGTCTCTGCTCGCCGAGTGACAGGGGTGCCCGGCTTCGCCCCGGGAAGGCTGGGTGTCAGAGCGCTGGCGGGGGCGCTGGGCTCCGCGGCTCATGCCAGCCCCAGTGTGCTAGCCGCCTCCTCCCCAATCGCCCACGCTAGGAGAGGGTCGGGGCAGGGGGCGGGTGGCCGACTAGACCTGGGGTTCTCGGCGGGAACCGGGGCGACGCGGATCCTGTGCGGGGCGCGCCCCCTGGCGGCAGTGGGGCGCAGAGCGGAGGAGAGTTGAAACAACCTCAGGTTCCCGGAGGGAGGGTGGAGGGACTGGACCTTGGTTCCCTGAGGGTGCATCCGCTGGACATGCTGTGAATCAGACGGGGCTCCTCTGAGAGCAGCCAGGCTAGCTGGGGAGAAACGGGGGCCAGAGAGGCCACAATAGGGGCAGGCTGAGCACCTGGCTCCAGCTCCTGATGCCAGTTTCCTGTTAACACAGAACCTGGGAAGCAAGGTAAAGGCTTAGTAGCTAATTGGGTCCCTGTCACTCGCAGGAAAGATTTGGATTGAGTTTTGGGCTTCTGGCGTTGGCCTGACCCAACCCCTCTGTCTCTGATAAAAATAAATGAGTAATTCAAAAGAGACAGGCACTGGGCTGCTAAGTGTGATGGTCTAGGTGTTTATGTTCCCCCAAACCTTGCTACGAGGGACTTCTAACCCTCAGGGTGGTGGGGTCCAGGGCAGAACCTCCCCATCCCCATCCCCCGTGAGCGGTCTGGCCCTTATCAAAGCAGCTGCCTCCACCATGGGGGGGATGAAGAAGGCATGAGGAGCCAGCCCTCAGAATCCACGCTGCAACCTTGGCCTTGGACTTGGCCAGCCTCCGGAGCTGGGGGAGAGAAGTGTCTGTTGCTCATCAGCCATCTAGCCTGCGGCATTGTTGTCCCAGCCCGATCGGACCAAGGCTGCAGAGATAAAGGGTTGACGAAATCCCAGGCACGTTTATTTTGCTCAGGAGCTTGAGCCGACTATCCCAGCCGCAGCGCCCGGGCGGCTCGCCGCCACGTGCACACGCCATAAACTTCTTGTTTCCTGCCCTGCTGTAGGCCAGGGTTGTCGCCTGGGGATCAGTTTGCCCACAGGGCACATTTGGCAACACCTGCAGAGATTTCTGGTTGTCATGACACCAGGGTGTGACACTGGTGTCCAGGAGGAAGGGGACAGGGAGGTGGCTGCAGGCTGTACAGTGCACAGGGTGGCCCCACACAACAAGGGACGCCCTGGGCTGAACGATGGCAGTTGAGAGACCCTGCGCTGGGCCTGGACTGCTGTCCTCATCTGCAACACCAGAGCTGGGTCACGGGCCTGTGTGAGTGAGCACAGCCGGGCCAGGGCCACAAGCGGTCCTCATCATGTCACTCGTGTCCACTGGAGAGAGTCTATCACATGGCCACACCGGGGGGGGGGTGCTGGCAGAGAGGCAGGTGTGTGCCCAGTGGAAGGTGCAGGGACTTGATGGGCAGATAGCAGCCTCCCTGACCCTCACCGATATGAGAGACATGGACGGTGCTGGTGGCTGAGATGGGAGCTGACCCTAACTGGCCAGAGTCCCACAGCGGGAGGATGGGGTGGGGGGTGAGCAGCAGCTGGGTGGCAGGGGACTTCAGTGCTGGAATGTGGAGTCTCGCTTTTGTCCCGAGGGAGCCTCGGGCGCTTGGTCAGTCTCCCAACTCCCTACGCAGGCTCTTTCCTCCTGAGCACATCTTATCCACCTGCCAGGGCTGGGATTTGGGAAGCACATATTTCTGCCTTGCCTTTTGCTGTTGCCTGGACTTCCTACTTTGCCAGGGTGAAGGGCAGTGCTGGGGGTCAGGACCTCATGTGGCCCTCGGAGCCCCAGCCGCTGCCCTCCCGGCCGCCCAGTCACGGTCCTGCACAGAGACTCCAGCCACTCCTGCATACCCCAAACGATCGGCCTCTGCAGTCGCTCATCGGATGGCCCCAGATCCTAGCACAGTTCCCCCGTGGAGTGTGCCCCATTCCCCAGGCACAGCCCTGCAGAACCTCCCCGCCACAGACGCCCCCCCCCCACAGCACCCCCAGCCCCGGCTGGGTTCTCCAAGGGTGATGGATCTCGAGGTGCCGCCCCGATGAGGAGTCTGCTTGGCCCTTCAGGAGTGAGTGCTGGTGGGCGGGTGAAGAGCAGGTCCAAGAGCCTGCCAGCTTTGGTCAGGGCGCGGGTGGAGTGGACTACAGTGTGACCACATGTCCCTCCGATAGTCACTGCCCCAGGGGGGCCCCAGGTTTCCACGTGTGCAGGAAATGATGGAAGCGGCACTGGGCAGGTGACACTGATCCTGGCCTCCATACTTTCTATTTTCTTGCTCAGTTGCCCACAGTCAGTGAGCATGGGAGCCGGGTGCCGAGGAAGGCCTGTAGAGGGAGCCATGGAGCTGGGCGGCAAGAATGCACGAACCCCTCCAGCCTCGTGGTCCCCGTTTAGCTACGCATTACACTCGCTGAGCACCTTCGCGGGGGCGGGAGGCACCGCCTACCTGTCTCAGGCCACCCCTGGCCAGCAATGTCAGAGCCTCCAAAGATGGGGCCCGGATGCAGGTGCCTTCCGCCCCGCCCCCACCCTCCCTCCCACCCTCCAGGCCATTTCAACACGCACTCAAGGTTCAGAGGCCCCGGCTGAGCGACGAAGGTGCTGAGAGTAGGCGAGGTGCGTCCACAGCACGGAAAACCTGCCTCCCGTGTGGCGGCCACGAAGCGAGGCCAACCGTCGGCCCAGCGCCGCCCCGTGGCCTCAAGGGAGCCCGTGTCCCCGGCTGCAGCTCAGCGCGGGGCTGTGCAGCGCCTTCCACATGAGCAGCATCTCGTAGGGCGCGAAGCGGTGCACGATCAGCAGCTCGCGGTAAATGCAGGGGTCGAAGGAGCGCTGCTGGGTGCCGGGCAGCTGCACGCCGAAGGGCCGGATGCCCTCGTGGCCGCTGGGCGCCAGGCCGGCGCGCTGCAGACACATGCCCATGTAGGCGTCGTCGATGGGGAAGAGCGGCGTGTGGCGGGCCGCCGCGCGCAGGGCCCGGGCGGTGTGTCGCGACAGCAGGAAGCCGCCGCCGCTGCAGTACACCGGGTAGGCCGGCCCGGGGAAGAGCTGCGGCGGCACGAAGTACTTGCTCCAGCTTTCGCGGATGGGCACGGAGCCGTCCATGAGCTGCCCGGCGAAGAGGTGGCGGTCGGGCGCCTGCGTCTCCAGGAAGCGGAGCACGTTGGCCGTGTGCACGAACACGTCGTCGTCGCAGCTGAGCACGAAGCTCGCGTGCGCGCAGTGCTCCGCCAACCAGTCGAGCAGGTGCACGTGCTTGAGCGTGAGGTTGAGGAAGGTGTCGGCGAAGGCCCACTGCAGCACGTCGCTGAGCTCGCGCGCCTCCAGCGCCACCAGCTCGGCCAGCTGCGCCGCGCTCGCAGCTTCCTCGGCCGCCGGCGTGCCCAGCAGGAAGAGGCGGCGCACCTGCCGCCCGCCGTAGCTGCGCTCCTGCCCCCACGTGCGTCGGATGAGCTCACGCCGCTCGTAGTTGGCGGGCGACGACTTGACGGCCAGCAGCAGGAAGGCGCCGCGGCCGCCGGCGCACTTGGCCGGCGCGTCCCAGAGCAGCGGGAACTGGCGGCAGTGGCGGTAGCGCAGGAAGTCTTGGATGCGCGCCGGCAGCCCCTCGAAGCCGGCAGTGGTGTTGGCGGAGGCGTTGGCCACGCACGGGGGCGCTGCGTGGCGTGGCTGCGGTTGCACGGCGGCCGCAGTGGTGGGGGCGTGGTCAATCGGATCCTCCGGCTCCACCTCCCGCTGGGACCTCTGGGCTTGCTGGAGCGACAGGTGCAGCGCCAAGAGACCCACACCGAGCAGAAGGCAGGCCAGGGTCTGGGGTCTGGTGGACCTGCGGCAGGGAGAAGCCATCTGTTGTAGGGGGAGGTGGGGAGACTGAGTCCGAGGTGAGCCTGGAGTCGCGCGGGACGCCCCCTCCCCATCCCCCCACCCCCATCACGTCTGTCCTAGAACCCAGCCGCAGCGCCTTCTCAGCTCTGCTGTTCCAAGGTGAAAATGACAAAACATGGGCGCCATCGCCCAAGCGTCTTGGGGCTCCCCAGCCCGGAGCGTCCTCCTACCCCTCAGGTCTGAGTGTCGCTATCGCATTGACCCCTGACGACCCCTGGTGCTTTGGCACCCAGGCCGGGCAGACTCACCCCGCCCAGAGAGTCTCCATCTTCCTGCTCTCCCCACCGCAGTGAAGGGTCCCACCGACCACCAGTTGCGCCCACCACAAGCCCTTTTTCTCCCACCCTCCGTGGCTCCGTCTGCTCCCTCCTGTTGACCCAGCACCCTCCATCCCTCCTACCCACCCCTGGCCAGCCCGGATCCCCTCCCACCCGCCCGCTGGTGGCCACCAGAGCAGGGACGCAGGAGGCGGAGCATGGCTCTGACCACTCGGAATTCTGGAGTCACCCTTTAGGCCCGCACCCCCCCCCAACACGTGGGTTCAGATCCCGGGGGTGTTCTCATCTGGGACGCAGGGTCAGTGCCTGCTCTGCAGGTCTGCAGCGCGCATGTGCGGGGGACGCCCACAACATGGCGGCTTTGGAGTCCTTGTAGCTCAGAGGGCTGCATTTTGTTTAACCAAAGCTTAACTTCTGACTTTGTGACTAATCAGACTTATATTTAACTTTATAGACAAATAATCAGTGTTTGAGAATTTCAGAAATTGGCCTTGAGAAAGCCGGAGGAGGTTGTAAAGCAATCCGGTCTGGCCCAGGCAGCTGACGGACGACTGATTTACGACCACAGCCAGCCCATATCACCTGGCCAGAGGCCAGCTCGCAGGGGCCCCTGGCCTTTGTTCCCCTTTTACCTCCCCTTTCTGCTCTCTTTTAAATAAGTTTATTTCTTTGTTTCTATTAATGTGAAATAGTCTCTCTCTCACTCTCTTTCTCTCTCTCTCTCTCTCACACACACACACACACACACTCACGCACACACACCCCTTTCGGTTCACCCCCCAAATGGGCAAGACTAAAGCCAGGAGCCAGGAACTCTATCTGGGTCTCCCATGTTAGTGGCGGGGACCCAAGGACTTGGCCCATCTGCTGCCTTCCCAGGCGCATTAGCAGGGAGCTGGACTGGGAGCAAACAGCTGAGACTCAGACCATCACTCGGATATGGGATGTCGGTATCCTGGGTGGCAGCATTAAGCCGCAACCCACCCCAGACTAGCCAGTTCTGACTTTTAAATATTTCATCAACTTGTGCGCTTCCATTCTCTCTACCAGCAGGTTAACCCAAACTAGCACCCCTGCTCAGATAATAGCTCTGCCCGCTCTTCCCACACGCCTGTGCTGTCAGCCCAGCCTTCCTTAGAGTAGCCGGGTGGCCTTGGGCCGTGTGGATTTGAGTACAATTCCCCTCGCTCTTGTCCTCGGCCTCCCCGTGACCCCTGCACAGCTCTGGACTTGGGCCCCCAGACCTCTGACTGTGGAACTTTCCCCGTGTTATTCCCCTGCCTGCACACTGACTTCCGTTTTTCTCCTGTTGTTTAAATCTTTAAATTCTGTGTTCCACAAACCTTTTAAAATATTATTATTTATTTTTCACTTTATTTGAAAAGCATACACATACACACACAGAAAAAGAAGAGAGAGAGAGAGAGAAAGAGGGAGAAACAGAAACAGAAACAGAGAGAGAGAGATTGATTGATCTATTGACTGACCCATTCCCCAATGCCTACAGGATCCTGGGCTGGGCCAGGCCGGAGCCAAGAGCCCGGAACTCCATCCGGATCTCCCTCATGGTTGGCAGGGAGCCAAGTGCTTGAGCCCTCACTTGCTGCCTCCCAGGATGTGCGTAGTAAGAAACTGGATGGAAAGTGGAAGAGGCCGGCACCACGGCTCAATAGGCTAATCTTCCACCTAGTGGTGCCCACACACCGGGTTCTAGTCCCGGTCGGGGTGCCGGATTCTGTCCCGGTTGCCCCTCTTCCAGGCCAGCTCTCTGCTGTGGCCAGGGAGTGCAGTGGAGGATGGCCCAAGTGCTTGGGCCCTGCACCCCATGGGAGACCAGGAGAAGTACCTGGCTCCTGCCATCGGATCAGCGCGATGCACTGGCCACAGCGCACTGGCCGTGGCAGCCATTGGAGGGTGAACCAACGGCAAAGGAAAACCTTTCTCTCTGTCTCTCTCTCTCTCACTGTCCACTCTGTCAAAAAAAAAAAAAAAAGTGGAGGAGCCGGCACTTGAGCAGCCACTCCGATATGGGATGCAGATGTGCCAAGTGGGCCCCTAACTGCCGAGCCAAACACCCACCCCTTCTGTGCTTATGCACCCTCTGGGGCCACTTGCAAAGGCATAGTTGTGGCGCAGCTTTAACGTAACTCAGAGGGCCCAGGTCCCCTGTCATGGACAGTCGCAGGGCGGTACTCCTTCCCACGCTGGAAGCTCTGTGAGGGCAGGGAGCCCACCTGTGGTGGTCACAGTCACCTCCCCGGTGCCCTGCATGGGGTGGGAGGTAGCACAGCGGGGTGGGAAATGCTGGCTGCCCAGGTTCACATTCTACCTCTTGAGCAAGCTGATTTAAGCTCTTATGAGTTATTGTGAAGACTAAATGATAACGCATGAGGAGAACCCAGTGTGGTACTTGGTGCATAGGAGTGTCTAGTTAAATTTTGCTGTGAGGCTTATCAGAGTGCCAATAAATACTTGTTGAATGGCTGCATTTCCTGCGTATATGCCCCTTAAATATTTCTAGGTGGAGTGGTTTGTGCACAGAGAGGGCTAATCGGGTTGAGCTTGGCTCTAGTGCTGTGTGCTACTGTCCTTGCACAGTGTCGGGCACTGGGTGGGTACAAAGCAGGGGTGAGGCCAAGAATGGCAGCTTGCGCTAAAAATACAGGGGAGCCCTGACCCGAGGTGATGGAACAGGCATTGCTTAGCACTCAGACACAGAAGGTAGGGAGCAGGGCTGGTGGCTGATGCAGAGCTAAGGTGCCATTGGGGACACCTGCATCCCAAGGTCAGGGTGCATGGGTTTGAGGCTTGGCTCCGCTTCTGATTTCAGCTTCCTGCCAATGCGCACCCTGGTGAGCAGCAGGTGAGGGTTCAAGTAGATGGGTCTCTGCCACCCACCTGGGAGGCCTGGCTGGAGTTCCTGACCCCCAGCTTTGACCTAGGCCATCTCCAGCTGTTGTGGCCATTTGGGAGTGGAGCAGTGGATGGGACATCAGTCTGTCTCTCTGCTTCTCAAACCAATCAACGAACCAACCAACCAATAAAACAAGTGGGAGAACCTTGGAGACACATCAGTGTATCCACCGAGTACCTGGTAGAAATACCAGATACAAGTTCCCATTGTTCTTAATGCTGTGGCTTCAGGGTGTGGTGCACTGGGCGGGGAGGGAGGCGACGAGCGGTGTCCCTGTCTCCATCACTGTGTATCGCTGCACAGTCCTGGGGCTGGCACATTTAAGGCAGCCAAGACTCTTTGTGTTCCAATGAGTGAAAGAATAAGAAAATTGTATTTGGGATCTGAATAATGGGGTTTGAGTCCCAATTCCTTGCATGAGCTAGTTAACCTCCTAGGTTTGCATTGCTTCATCTGTAAAATTGAGTAGGTAACACTCATTTCTTTCTTTTTCTTTTACAGATACAGTTATACAGTGAGAGAGAGAAAGAGACAGAGAGAAAGGTCTTCCTTCCGTTGGTTAAACCCCAAATGGCCGCCACGGCTGGAGCTATGCTGATCCGAAGCCAGGAGCCAGGTGCTTCTCCTGGTCTCCCATGCGGGTGCAGGAGCACAAGCACTTGGGCCATCCTCCACTGCACTCCTGGGCCACAGCAGAGAGCTGGCCTGGAAGAGGAGCAACCGGGACTAGAACCCGGCGCCCATATGGGATGCCGGCACCGCAGGTGGAGGATTAACCAAGTGAGCCACAGCACCGGCCCCAAGTAACACTCATTTCTTAGTAGAATAAGAATTCTGTGAACACGGATGTGCTGGACAAATACTAGTTAAAAAAAAATTACAAAGCCTTCCTCCTCCTCTGCCCTTCTCCATCCCTCAAGCCATTTCTAGAAAGAAAAATTCTCTCAGCCTTAACCAATCTTGTTTCAAGGAAACTTGCCTTCACTTTGATAATGCTGATCCAGGAACCTGGGTCGGCCAACTTTTGAAACAGGTGTGGGCCAGGCCCTGCTCCGGAGGGTGGCGCTGGCTCCTCTCTGTTTCTGGCTGCTGTGCTGGGCAGCCTGAGGGCTGTGCCGTGTCAGGAGCTGTGGGTGTCATCTCTGGTTCTGTTCTGGGTGTCCCCTTTGCTCAGAGCACTCCTCCAGCAGGAGCTCTGGGCTCCTGCACCTTAGCTTCCCGGGCACTGTGGGTTCCAAGCCCAGGACTCGGCTCAAGCACCACCTCCTGCAGGTCCACCTCCTGGTAAGTCCAGGTCAGCAGGACCTGTGCCCTTGCCACTGCTGCGGCTGCTGACCACAGTGCTGATGAAAGAGGACTGAGCTGCCAGGCTGTGGGCCCTTCTGACTTACTCGTGGGGCCTTGGGCAAGTTACTTACCCCAGCGTCTGGGGATTAGGTGAGATAGCTCCTGCGAGGCACGGAGAACTATGCCTGGCGTGGAGTCTGCTCGGTGCTAAGAGCAGCCACCGGCTGAACGGGGAAATGTGGATGGAGTGGACCTTGTCTGTGGGTGGGTCTGGGTCCCTCGGGCCTTCTGCGTGGTGGAACAGGTGCCTGCGTGGTCCTCCCCCCACGGCTGCTTCCCACAGCGCATTGCTATGCACTCTGCCGGGAATGCCCCCTCCACCCTGCCCCATCTCGTCCCAGGACCCAGGAACTCTGGTTCTTCCCGTCTCTGGTTTGATGTCTGGATGGCTGGAACGCAGATGCCTGGGTACCCGCCGCCCCCTGCCACCCAGGGTATCCCCGGAGGGCTGTGCACAGC